CAAGCTCTTCTTTTTCAAGAGTGGGAAAGCTCGTGCTGGTCATTGCCTCCCCTTTCGAGTTGTGTCAAGGACGGCTTTCCAAACAATGCTTGGGTCAACTAGTGTCTCATTAACATTGTGTTGTATCAGGGTGTCACTGCATCCTCGGCTCGGTTCGTCAGCAATGTTCGATTCGGTTGGCACCCTTGCAAACCATGCATTCCATTTCAGATCAAATTCCATTTGTATGATTGCACTGAGTATTGGGTCCGCGTTTGAGCTTCCAGTGAAGCATGCGATCAAACAATCTTTAACACCTTCATTGTCGGTGTAGACAACAACTTGGCTGTTTTCCAGGACTTGCTTCCAAGTAAACATTGCAACAAAAATGGAGAGAAGCTCACATTCAAAGATCACTGTCTTGCGTCCAGCGGGGTTCACCTTCTCTAGCTGTGCTGATGTCAGTGTCGTCGAGAAGAAACTTAGCTTCTTTCCATACTGGTCAGCCAGTACAGCTCCTAAGCCAGCTATGGGGGAGCCATCTTTCTGTTCATACGAGGCATCCGTAAACAGGAGAAACAGAGCCTGCTGTGCAACAGAAATCTCTCGGGGCACGTCGATCTGTAGGAGTCGCACAAAAAGTTGTAGGGCATGCACCGAGTCGTGGGACAGCTCTGTTCCACCATTACCATAGGCATGTTGAGTGATAATCGCAAGTGCTTTCTTTGCTATGCGCCCATAAATTTGTCCTGACGCGAATTGTAGGCGGCCTCTCAGCCTCAAAGCGTCTTGTCTGTTGAGAGTACCGTGTTCCAGGACCTGTTCAAGCACATGGATCAACTCCGTCTTACGACTTTTAGTGTTGTCGATCAAAACACGACCACTGTGCATGCAAGCGACGTCGAGCTGAACTCCAAGGGCGGTGACTAGGCTCCCAAATGGGGGAGCTTTGTCACCCGTCTCTGCAAAGTCCCATCCAAGCATCTTGAATGTCATTGTCACAGCGGATGTAACTGACTCGGCTTCAGGTCGTTCTGCCAATGCAATAAAATCATCGAAATAGTTTGAAATGCACACGCCAAAAACAGAGACCAAGATCGCCCACAAACTGTGGGCAATCCTGAGAAAAGCATGCACCGATCTGACGCTGCCAAATGGCAACGCCAACATCTTGAAGCATTTGACTGAACGGGAGCTTGGGTCGGCGACAGCGATGTAGCTGTAACAGTGCTGGTCCGGGTCCACAGCACACTGGCGGTATGCCCGCTTCAAGTCGAAACTCCTAACAAGCCAGGGTTCACTTCTGGTCAACTTGGTCATGACTGCAAGGCACATGCTGCACAATACATCCACTGTATGGGGTTTTGGCGACTCGCTAGTTTGTGCACACGCGTTCACAGAAGATTGACTGAAGTCATCAACACATCTGATCTTGTTTGACTGTCTCACGCCGAATCTCTTGCTAAGCGGGTAACTAGGCTGTATCTCTGTGATATCAAACGGCCCTTGAATCTCACCAGCATCGCGCTCAGCCAAGGTTTGCTCCCACACCGAACTAATCACATCTTGGTCCATGAAGCTGAATGCCTCATAGGTGATGAGAGGTCTCTGGCTTTCCGACACCTGGGACAGATCATGCGGTGTCATAGATGCCGGAGTAAATTTGAAAGGCCAAAGGGATGTTCGTTCGGCTTCTCCAACAAGCTGAGTGCCAGTGTAGAATTCTGTCACTACACCCATATCCTCATAGTTTATGGATTGTAGCATTTCTTGCCAAAGCAGGATGCGTTTCGACTTGAGGATCTTCCTCACGTCGGGGTGCAAGGTCTGTTTGAAGTCGGCTTCCTGAGAACGTAGCTGATGTGCCCTCTTCAAGAAAAACGCCAACTTCTCAAGCCTCATGCGGTTGCGCTGTTCTGCACTCATGAATGACTGTTGATCAATCATGACCTCCAATCTCTTTGGAAGAAAGCTTCCCATGGCCAAGGAGTGCCCTGCTTTCACGGCTTCCTCGAAGAACTCCTCTGGCGCCCAAGGGATGCCCCATAGCTGAGTTGCGCTATCCTCACTATTGTCACCCAGCGACAAAACAGCTGGAGGCGGGTCGTCCTCCCCCCGCGGATCAAGAACGGCTCCAGGTATGATAGCTAGAAGCTTAGATCCCTTATCCAGTGTCTGGACCGGATTGGAGGTGAGCTGCAAAGGCGCACGGAGTCGCTGAAACAACCTTGCTTCGGGGAGTGCAGTGGGATCCCCTCGAAGTCGGACTTTCGACTTGTAGGTCCGGATCAACGCGGGAATTCGGCTTGCTTTGGATTGCATGCCAACTGTGGCCCTCATTTTCTGCAGCGCTTGCAAGGATATGGGTTGCACTGCGTCTAACGTCTCTGCATTTGCACTTATCCCAAATCGCATCAACGATCTAACAATGACCATTCCGATCATCTTGGCGAGGCCCATCGGATATGCCGTTTCTTCAGCTGTTGCGAAGCGTTTCTTGTGTCTGTCGTAGCCCCACCTCGCATGCTTATGAGAGCTGCTTTGTCCCTTGCATGTTGCATTAATTGCATGAAATTCCGGAACATTGAACGCCAGCATAGTCTTCTTCTGACGTGCACTACCATACTGACATGAATGAAAAACTGTATATTGCATGAGATGTGCTACCTGCTGCCAAAAGGTCGTCGCCCAGAAGTGACTGAACTGTGGATTTTCCACACAAACAATGACCCCTGTTTCAACGGCCCATTCGACAACCTGTGCGGTAAGAAAATATAACTTGTTTGCTAACGACACTCTCAGATTATCTGTATCAGACAGCTGAGGCAAGCCGTTCGGGAACTGATCACTGCGAAGGGGTCGAGGTCCATGGCTTTGTCGCAAGATACCTTGGCGTGTCCTCTTCAGCGGAATTTGCCTCGCCCTGGAGGCAGTACCACAGGGTGGTGCCAAGAAAACTGCAATGACTTTGTCATTTGCAAGCCATGACCGCAACAATGAAATACCCTCAGGTGTATTGAGGTCTGCCTGGATCACAGGTCCAGCTGCATGTTTGCTCCGAACGTGATCCACACCAAAACTGCTGCCCATTCCAAGTTGTCTAAGACATGCAGTAACACGGCAGCTTCCTGCAAAAATTTCCAGTGAGAAACAGTCCGCAAGCCGGTACCCCTTCTCAACTGCTCTCTGAATTCTAGGAAATAGTCACGAGGTCTTCGCCCCGGGGTTGTCCTTGGGCTTTGCTGGACGTTCGCTTTCAGGATGTGGGGCATGACATCCCTTTCTCATACATAAATGAAAGCCTCGGCCGCATTGACCTCCGGCAGGTGCACCTGAACAACGACCGAGGTTGAAGTCGAAGCAAAGCCTCCGACCATGAGGATCGGTTGACACATTGTCCCGACCCTGCAACTCACGCGGAACCATCGATGAGTTTCTCCCTTGCCCTTTTCCTTTGCCCTTTTTCCCTTTCCCTTTCGACTTGCTGTAAGGGTGAAAGGCTTCAGCACGCTGATGACCCCAACTGTTGTAGCTTGATGTGGCTTCAACACGCTTTGTCTCAACCTTGATCTCCTGCTTCTTGGGCAAAGGCATAAGGCAGAACCCAACTTCATACGATGACATAGCCTCAAAGACTGCAGTGTCCATCTCTAATGCGTTATCCGGCAGGCGCCTTACTGAGACATCCTTCTGGATCATGCGCATGAATGTTTCTCGATCTGCTTTCAGTACCTGTTGCAATGTGGTCTTGTTGTAGCCTTCAGGAGCGTCATTCCTCAGGTGCTGCATGAGGCGTTGAAGATATCGCTCGTGGCACTCCCATGTCAAAGTGTCACTGAAGGCTAACGCTATTCCTCTGCGTCTCAGGGCCTCAAAGACCTGCATCTCGGAAGACACCTGCTGGTCAGGTACCGTCTGCTCACCTTTCACGAGGAGCTTGTCAACATCGATCGAGAGTTGCCTTGAAGTCTTCCCCATAGTCACCTCCCACTCACGACTGGTGCACTTCTCTGGAGAGATGTATGTCAACTGCTTTGATTCCCACTGCTGTGAGACAATGTCAAGGAGGTGATGACTGGGTTCTAATGATTTCTCGATCACAACACCCACCAAGCGAGTGCGAAGGTTTCTCATTTTGACCTCACGCTCAACTGCAGGTAATTTCCTCGTGGCTCCGGCATCTGGATTTGATACCTGTTCACGTAACTGGGCCAGCAACATGGTCTGGCCTTCAAACACAAGGCGCTTGAGCGTGCTTACATCTGCTAGCGATGCCATAGCTCCAAGGACATTCAGGGAGAACCTATTGAACTCAGTCTCGACCATAGGCTGTCCAGGCTGGCCGCACGCGAAGGCCAGTTGGCCAAGATTTGTATATCCTGCGTTGGTAAGTGCTGTGAGGCCTCTATCTGAGAGTCCTGTCTCGGTGCACCGTTTTCGGAAGTGAGCTTCCGACTCGACGATCGAGGTCATGGCAACTAAGCTCACGGCGCACAACCCTGAGTGCCCAAGGTTCAAACAAAAAGTTCACGACATCCAACACTGCTTCACAAAGAAAAATCAGCTCAAAGAACTAAAACTCATGACACATGCCATGTGCACCTACAGGCTTGACGGCCCCAGATGTCCACAACATTCGTAGACCATTTCATTAGTTGGCATCCCACATTGCTGTGAGCCGACATACTTTTAGTGCGCACAGAGCACCTCATCCCTGTTGCCACATGGCAAACTGTCAAGACAAACTTGACTCTTCCTGCACATGCAGGTAATCCCAACATAGGGGCATCACTTACATCGAGTGCCAACATAGGCAGTCACATTCCAGGGGGATACAAACACTTGTCTCAGGCTCACATGTCAAATTTTAATTTCGACAGTCTCAGCTCACATGACATCAAAACTAAGTGTGGGATCACACGGGGTTTCACTTTTGTCACATCTAAGGGCGAAGCGATCAGTTGAAGCGTCCTGATGGGTCTCTCAGACCCCTGAAACAAATCCTACATTTGTAGGTCCAATCGCTTATGGATCTAATGACACAGAAATTCGAATTCGTCAGTCTTCCACATTTCGTTGCACTGTCACGCAGCAGCTCTAAGTTCCCGGCTTCTGAATCTGACACTCTGTCGGCTGCATCGGCTACCGCATGGATGACTCTGGATTTCTTGTTCTGAACCCAGGCGTGGACACCACCTTCTTCTGAATGAAGTTCCTCATACAGAACGGGATCGGATGCGTGTTCACTTTCCTGACTTGTCTCGGCAAAATCATCACCTGCGGTGGAAGTCTCCGAGCTTGATGAAACAAGGTCGATCCCTTCGTTCGGGAGGTCAGCAGGCACGACCTCCTGCTTGACATCTGTATCTGGTCCTGTCTCCTCGCGCTCTGCAGTGACGACTGCAGGTGTAGGCGGAGCACGCAGAAATCCTGGTGTTGATGGCTGGAAGATCGGTGCTCCTGACAAATCCGATGATCTTGCTGCAAAGAAATCTGATCTTCCTTTGTCTGGAAAGAACTCCTCATTGCGGATCATCCGAATGACTTTCCCAAGTGACCTGACCGGCTCAACCATCAGGTCGGTGGCATAGATGCTGTCTGAGTCCTGAACGGCACTAGCATGGCGCCCCAGCAATCTGCGATGATCTCTGTTGACACCAGCCTTGGCTGCCCAGCTCAAAGCCGTCCTCTTCAACGAGTGCGACCTCAAATCATGGTCATTGCAGTTTAGCAATGTCCTGAGAATTTTTGTTGTCTCTGCGCACGACAAATGCCTCTTTGCCCAACGGTCAGGTTTCACTAGGTCAGGCGCCGGCATGACCGCTCCGTCAATGATTCCAGACGTTGGCAATTTCGACTTCTTTCGCAGCGTCAGCCACATGTCCAGCCAAGGCTCAGGGCCTACCGACTCTCCACATGCAATGATTGGCATGAGCATCGATTTCGCCTCGACAGATCTGGCCGCCTTGTGGTACCTGGTTGTGAACTGGATGAACCCACCAAAACTCTCCGGAGACCCTCGCTCGGAGTGATCATGTGAGATATCGTGCGCAAACGCCAAGTCACTGTTTCGGCTCCGTGTATACACCATCAGAACTAAATGGCTGCAGATCACTCGTTCATGAAGAGGCCGCTTTGCATCAGACATGATGCGGGACAACTTCTGCACCTCCTCGACGGTCAAGGGCCGAGCTTGTTGCGTGGGTCTCTTCATCGCAGCCTGCAGTTCCGACTGGCCAATCAGTCTGCGACTTGCCACACACTCCTGCGCTCCGTCGACCTGCAGCACATGAAGACAGAATCTGAGGGTTTGCACAAATGAAGTTGCTCTGGTGGGGGCCGCTCCCTCATTTTTGAGTTGCACGAAATAATCCCAAACCAAACTTTCTTGCAAAGGGAAGGCCGGTTCATCACTAAAGCTGGCCAGCCATCTTTGGAAAGCAAAAATTGCATTGCACCGCTTCACAATGGTTGAAGGGGACTTCGTCCCAATGATGGAATTGATCACATCGTCACAGTCAGATCGAAGCTGGCCCCCACCGTCAATGCACTGTCGACCAACTTCACTCGCAGACCAGTCAATCTCCAGAACGCAGCGCAACTTGGCCAGCGCTGACTTCATCGTCTTTGCTCTGGCCTGCAAGAAATCTAAGTCCGCTGCATTCCGAACGCACCTCAGTACACTAAAGTCCGCTTGAGCCTCGACCTGAGGAATCACTTCAGGGATGGGGTGTTGCAAAGGGTTGTCGAAGGAAACACTCCAGTTTGCAGGCATCGCCAAGTTGCCCAACAACACTTCCAAAGATTGGACTCATCAGCTCACTCTCCCAAGGCAGAACAATACTTGAGGCCACAATTCGATCTGCCATCGCCGAGGCCAATGACAAGGCATCGTCCACATTTGAGCTGACTGCAGGGAGTGTTGATGAAGGTGATGAAGACAAACAGCCATCATTTCCAAAACTATCTTTGTCGACAGGTTCCTGCGCTGTCCGTCTCTTCTTGGACCATTTCAATCTGAAGCCTCTGAGGTCTGCATCGCCGTCGAACTCATCGTCTGCATCGATCGGCGTATCATCAGCGACAGATGATGGCTTGGGAGAATGTCCGTCGGGCTCTTGACCCTGGTCTTCAAGGTCGACAATGAGGCTACTGAGGTTGTCAGGGACGTGCTCCCATGATCCAGAGGCTTGTGAGGCGGCGGGTTTGAGAGCATCCTCGCCCTCACCAAACATGGCTATCCATGGCACAATTCCCCCCGCCAGCGAAAAGATCCAAGAAAGAAACATGGTCATGTACATTGATCAAATGTCATCTATACTTCACATAAGAACTTCAACCTCTTGCAAGTTCCTGGAGCCAGACTCGGATGTTCATGAACAATCATTCACTGCAACCTTCATCTCTTAGATCGCATTCCTTCGGATAGCTCCATTCTTTAAAAGCTTCTGAAGAAAAAATGACGCTGTCCATGAGTGGAGCCTCGACGGTGGACAAAATAAAAAAGAACAACAACAACAACAACAACAACAACAACAAGGCAGTCCATGTTGCATAGCAGCCTTGCAGTAATTATGGCAAATGGAACTGCACTTGTAGCGTAGCTGCTTGCTGTAACAGCTTTCAGAAAACACTGCACGCCCAATTGCTGCCAGGGTGTGTTGATCCACAGCCATTTGGACAATCCACAAACATCTCTCCACTTCACGCTGTGGCCCAGCAGGCTCAGGCTACACGCACCGAGGCACAGGCTACACGTGCTCGGTGCACCCAGGGAAAACGTAAAAAATAAAGTGGCCCACTCTTTTTGGAAGCATCTGTGTGCGTGTACAGAATCTGTGCTGTACCTGTTGTTTCTTTTGAAAATCCTTGCAGACGTTGTGTACATCCAAAGCTCAGGGTATGTCGATACTTATACGTGAAGGTATGAAGGTAAAATCAAGGCGAGAAATGATGCGAAGGGGCCGATGACAGAGGCGTCCCTTACCTCTGTCATCCGGTGCATTAGCACTTGGAGCCAGGCTGCAAACAAAGCATTCAGCTAGAAAGTTGGAAAGTTGGGAAGTACATATCTTGCTGAACATATTCCTGTTGGCAAGAACTGGGGCAAGAACTGGGGGACCAGCTGTACTAAGGCTCAGTAGTCAAGTATGAGGCAAAACATTCTGACTCAACGTGTGCAAGAGTGTGTCTTTTGATTGCGAAAGCGCGGAACCACTTGCTATCCACAGCAAAGACGGTGGAATGTGACACAAGTTTCTCGGATGTACGCGTCCAAGGGGTGACACGACGAGATTCACCCTCCGAAGGGTTGTCTGTAGGGCTCTTTGGCATAGAAATCCAGGGCCATGGTCAGCACTGCCAGCAAGCCCGGCTTGGTCTCTTCCAACTCCTTTGGGAACACTTCAGATGGTTTGCACGTCGGCTGTGTACATCCATACGCATTGATGATCTTCCCAAGCATCATGGAACTCTGGCTGCTAAACTGCTGCACCGATTTTGCAACCTCTGGAGCAATGTCAGGTGCGCTAAGCAATGCTTTGGCCAAGTAGTCGTAGGCCTTCTTGTTGTTGATCGCATCCTGCAAGGAAAAGCCACAGTTCCCTGGTGCACCACACTTGAACATGGCATTGGCCTCCGTGAACTTCTTGTGGACCTGAGGATTGTAGACTAAGTATGACAAATCAGGCTGGTTGCCCAGATTCTTGAGCACTGTTGTCAGGGACTCGGTCACCTTCAACAGCGCTTGGTCGTTGAAGTTCTTCCGCATGTCCAGGGCAAAGGATGCCAGTTCTCGAGGGACCTTGATACCCGGAATCATTCCATATTCCATCGCGGGAAGCAGGTAGTTGGCGTTAACTCCTCCATGATACTTTCCAAAGGCAGTTTGCGCAAGCCACACAGCAGGAACCCCATTGAAGCATTCTGGAAGAAATTCAACACACAAGGGCTTGAAATCCTTGGTGATGGCATCAGCATCGCTGTAGCTCGTCGCAGCGTATTGGCGGTTCACAAAGAGGGGCTCGACCGGTGCACCTGTGAAGGATTCCTCCATCAGCTCCTGGCAAAGTTACAGCAGCGTAAGCCTGAACAACTAAAGCAGCAGCACCCTTGTTTGCAGGGGGTGGAGAGGCATGAGTGACAACAGCAGCAGCAAATCATGTCTGACAAAGCACATGACCATCATATATCGCCCAGAGTCCCGAGTTCTAGAGCCTGCAGGTGGGGGATCGAGACCGAACACCCAAAGGGCAAATCCTGCTGCAGATTGATGACACGAACATACTGCTGCCTCAAACCTTCATGATGCATAAACACTTCCATGATGTGGCTGCAAACCAACAAAAATAGAGGATCAGTGCAAATCACCATTCGGAGTGATCCATTCCCCTTCTAAACTATACCATCAACTGCAGGCTGGAGTCCCTCCGTATCTTCCTCCCCAGACCGCGGTCTCCTGGAGTCCCTCAGTGCTCTCAGTGCCCAAGACCGCCACGAAGTCATGGTCATTGATGCCCGGAGCTCCTAAGGGATCCATCGTCATCACCAATTTCACCATCTGAATCTGCACCGTGGGTCTCCTGGCCCAAGCCGTGAAGCCGATGGGATAGTTGTGACAGCTGCCCTTCCGTCCTTGCCAACCTCACGGAGTGTGGACGAACAACTTAGGTGAAAAGGAGCTGCCAAAGTGAAAGCAGTAGAGGTTGGGATCAAAAAAATGTTGGGATCGAAGCGTGCAACAAATGTTTTTTTGGCGTTTTGAGGAAACCAAACCTGAACTCTGGCAGAACCTCCTTTTCCACTCCTCAGAGGTCTGGACATTTCCAATTCCTTCTTCACCGTCTGATAGGATGAGCAGCAAACTCCGTTTGATTGGATTGTCTTTGAAGTACTTTGCCAGAGATAGTACAGCTGCCACTGAACCACCATCGTCGTATGAATTGTCTGTCTCAAGGTTGCCTTCCTTTGCTGATGGCCCCTGGTTGTAAGGACCATCCAAATGAGCACCGAGTAGGATATACTCTTCTTTCAATTGTTCGTCACTTCCTGGCAGACCTGCGATCAGATTGGTAATTCCGCCAGGGCACTCATCATCTTTGGTCCCTGGAACTGTGTAGAGATAATCATTGCCCTGGCCCAAAGCCATCAATCCCATCGCCTTCATCTTACCTGCCAGAAGCTGCCGAGCATGCTCAATCCCTGCACTGCAAGAAATCCGAGGATTGGGTTTGCCATCATTGTTCGTCACTTCGTCCAAGATCGCACTCTCGGATTCAGGATTGGTCGCACGAAAGCTAGAATGCTCTCGCAGACTGTCTCCCAACCAGAAGTTTCCCAGCAAGTGCACAAACAATGCACATGGACGTGCCATGTGAATCATACTGAGCAAGGTACTAAAACACACCACGCAAAACTACATCGCTGAGCTACGTCGCTGAGCAAAATTCGCAGGGTAACACTTTTGCGGAATCATTGGATTAAAAACCAAGTCTATACCAAACAGCAAGCAGACATTCTCAGAGGTGGCCAACACAAGTTTTAGCACAGGGTTCTCAAAGGGTTTCGTTTAACACTGGGGCCTGGGGTCTGGGGGTAGACTCTTGTTCGCGACTCATTGTCGGAGCGTTCGCAACCTTCCGCGAGAACACATGTGGAAACGTGACATGTTGAAGTGTGGAGGGTGGTTTCACTGTGCAGGTGCAGCATTCAGTGAGATCTGCAATTACCTTTTCGCAGTCACATTGAGATTGATGTTTAGAGGGTGGTGTTTTTGGGGTGTTGGATGTGGCTGTGACATTTCAAAGCTGTGTTTTCGTGACAAGTCTCAGCTAAACTGGCGATGTTTGTGGGAGAAAGTGTGCTAAGAACGTATCGAAGTGTTCTTGACTAGAATTGACCTGGCTCAAAACGAAACCTCATCCTGCAGCAATAGGCCATAGGCATGCCTCTTGTCACAAGCAAATGAGCGTGCCTGGCGCGGCTGCTGCGGGTTAGTTTTCTGAGATCTGTCCACAACAGGTTTTCTGACCTGCCGATCACTTTCCAAAATATGGCAGGCAGGTGGGTCACCCAATCCACAGCCGTCCTGGCACAGTGCTCCTTCAAGGGATCGAGAAAAGTTATTTTTCTGGACACCAGTTTGGGGTCCAAAAACTCCAGCCAAAACCGGTCCCGCCACAGAGAGCTTCCCAGAACATCCAACAGACTTGCGCAAAGCCAACCTTTTCACGTTCACCCGACCAACAAGCGACAAGCAACCAACTTTTTTCCACGAGTGCGGACGCCATGTGGGCATGATGCCCAGGTCATCATTGAAGGAAGGGAAATACAATCAGATGGTGGAGAAAAGGACAAAGACAACCCAACAACAAACCAAACAAAACCAACCACAGCCCACAGGCCGAGACTCCACCACCAAGTAGTATTTCCTCTGTACTAGGGTGAAACAAGTGAGACGATGACTGCTAACTATCTATGGGCCTGAATTCACGAAAGAAGAGCATGGCAGCGAGGGTTTGTGCTCTAGCAAAATCTCAACGAAGTCGTCAAATGGACTTCACATCACTATCACCAGTGACCAACGGCCACTGCACAGAGTGGCAAAAA